TGGGTCTAGCTCTAATACCATATAAAAAAACTGGACCTTGGGCCTAACCGTACCTTCAAAAGCTAGCTTATGAGTTATGAGGTGAGTATTGCCGAAGACAATATAAGCAAACAACAGCCATTTCCCCACCAATGTGGGATGCTAACGATTTTCATCAAAGAGATTCAAGAAAGACAACGAACTGATGGTAATGGAATAAGATAGACCAGCCACTGATTACTAGGTGCAGCTAGCTCCTTGCAACTCTTCTTTCCTGTGAGGTCCTGAGCCTCCATACCATTCTCAGAGTTTCAAGCAGAAAGTTCTCTAGAACAACAGAAGGACACAACTCACAAGGAAAAGCTAGTCTACTTACCAGGGATTTTGGTACAACTGAAACTCAGATGCAGATAACTATACCAGTTTCATACCATTCTTCAGAAATATAGTAATTTTACTTTATTCTTTGATTTTACTCTATATAAGGGACAAGAATTTATTAAAGACTGCATTTGTACGACTTGGAGCAAACACAAACTAACAAAGTGCAAAACAAGAATTATACGCATATGGATCCACATTAGATTTTAATCAGATAGCTAATGAATAGAGACTGTCATCCCCTAATTAGCTGAGAATATAGACCGATCCACTAGAACGCCAAAGAATGATGAGGTAAAATTATAAAGTTTAAATTACTTAGCAACAGTTAGCCCATGTTTGTTCAAACCAAAGTATGACATATACCACACATAACCCGTTTATCCCCTAAGTCACAGTATACAGTCTGTACAACTATCTTTTATGAGACATTTTTTATACAACTTCTGCTTCATTCCTTGTCTGAAGTTCTTTCATGTCAGGAGAAAGAGACAAGAACCACTAAAGACATCACTTTCCACACGGCAACCTAACACATATTTATCAAGTAAGTTTACTTAGAAACTAGGCTGAACAGCCAGACTTTTTGTTAGCAACATATTTCCATCCATAATATGAAAGCTTCCTCTCACACTATAAAGTAACAGAATTCTCAAGTTACAAACAAGCTGGAAAAGAAGGTCCAGTAAAGGCTAGTTCAGGATTCAGCTTTTTTTATATAATAAATAGGATCCTACAAATATTAGGTAGCACTAGATTTTAGCATGACTAACATAAAATCTGAAATGTTTTTAGATAAGAAAAAAAAAAGCAGCGACTAAGGATATTATATAATAGAAGTCGAAGGCACATCTTGTGATGTACAGTTTATAAGGAACAAAAAGCTTACAGTGTTAAAGAAGCATATAGCAACTTCATCGTAAGACCTATTAATAATCTGAGTTCTGAGAGATTGTGCAATGCAATTGATGGAAAGTTGAAAATGAGTAGCGGTCTTTTCATCATCCTGCAAAAATCGAAATATTTAGTGGGATTCCACAGTTTTACACTCAAAGGGTCAAAAATGCTAAAGAATTATGACAAAAATGTTTTCAAGAGAAATATTGCTCGTAATAACTGTACAACTACATGCACAAACTCAATCAAAATAAAAAAATTACAAGAAACTGAAATGCATTAGCACTCCAATCTCAAGGAGGTGCCTCCCAACCACCACTGCTACTCCTTGAAAAACTAGTCCTAAGCTGAACAAAATATGCCTCCGGAGATACCCTAAATTTTTCGGAAATAAAAGAAAAAAGGAGTTTCCAAAAACCTTTTGTTTCTCAAGAATCCAGCCAAAAGTTCAAAACACACCAAACAAGACAGCAGGAATTAGGTCCTAACTTATCTTCCTCTCTTTCTCTTTTTCTTCCTTTTATATCAATGGTATATGGGTTAGCTTCCGCACTCCAAGAATATTCTACTGGGTACCTGCTACTAGACTCCACTACCCTTCCCAGACTCCACTAGTGGGATTATACCGGTTTGTTGTTCTATTGACTTTTTGCCTTACTTCACTTCAGAAATTATTACTCCCTCGTTCCAATTTATGTGACATAGTTTGACTGGGCGTTGTTTAAGAAAAAAAGAAAAACATGTGGTCCAAAACAAATTTGTGTGGCATTAAGGATAAAATGAGAAATTTAAAGTTAAATTTTGTCTAAATATAAAAATGTATCATTATTTTAGGTACAAACTAAAAGCAAAGTGCATCATTTAAATTAGGCTAGAGGAAGTGATAAAACCGTGCCTTCATGGCGTCCGGGCTAGCTAGCGTGTTCATCAACTCGATTATTCCACTGAGTACATACTACCTCCCAGTAGCATTTATAATGAATAACTCTGCCTACCAAGGCTTAAGCAGATGGAAATAGATTACCTAATGTTGTTTTTGCCTCCACCGGAAAACTGAAAAAAATAGAATGTGCCTTTTAAACTATATGATTAGAAGATTAGTTCATTCAGTAGAGGTGAATGGAGATACTTGATGTTAGGTTAAGCTGATAAAGATGACTGTTTCATTGTGAAGTTCTTTTAGAAGCTAAGTTATAATCTGATTGAAAGGCATTTATTGTTAAGCATAATTGTGAATACGGTTCTTGTGACATCCTCTTGATGAAAAATAAGGGAGGAAGATAAGTCGTATCTGTGGAGTGCTGGGTTTAGGCCATAGGAGAGACTAAAAACACTAGGGAGAAAGATAAGTCATATCTGCCTAAGCCTTGGTTGGTAGAATTACCTGATGCATGCGCTGGTTGGAGGCAAGTATCTCCATTCACCTCTACTGAATGAACTAATCTTCTAATCATATAGTTTAAAAGGCACATTCTATTTTTTCCAGTTTTCCGGTGGAGGCAAAAACAACATTAGGTAATCTATTTCCATCTGCTTAAGCCTTGGTAGGCAGAGTTATCCATTATAGATGCTACTGGGAGGTAGTAGGTACTCAGTGGAATAATCGAGTTGATGAACACGCTAGGTAGCCCGGACGCCATGAAGGCACGGTTTTATCACTTCCTCTAGCCTAATTTAAGTGATTCACTTTGCTTTTAGTTTGTACCTAAAATAATGATACATTTTTATATTTAGACAAAATTTAACTTTAAATTTCTCATTTTACCCTTAATGCCACACAAATTTGTTTTGGACCACATGTTTTTCTTTTTTTCTTAAACAATGCCCAGTCAAACTATGTCACATAAATTGGAACGAGGGAGTAATAATTTCTGAAGTGAAGTAAGGCAAAAAGTCAATAGAACAACAAACCAGTATAATCCCACTAGTGGAGTCTGGGAAGGATAGTGTGTACGCAGGCCTTACCCCTACCCTGGAGTAGAGAGGTTGTTTCCGATAGACCCTCGACATCCCTCCCTCCAAAAACTCTCCACTTTTCTCGAACTCACAACCTCTTGGTTGTAAGTGGAGGGTGCTCACCACTAGCGCAACCCACTCTTGTCAATAGAACAATGGAACCAAAATCAAGTAAAAAAATTAAACAAAATGAGAAACAGTAACTGATAATTAAGGACTAACCGTAGGGCAAGTAGTGGAAAACATTTTGGGCGAAGCATCCACAAGGTATACCAATAATTCCTTAGTAGCATCTCTTTCCTGGATGTTTAATTTGATTGCACATTTTAGATATAATTATACAAAATAATTTAATTTTCAATTTTAACACAAACAAATAAGTGAATAAAAAATTATTACTATTGATAATAATAATAATAATAATAGGGACCTTATAAAATTCACTTTCTGGATCATCTTCATCGTCACGAAAGACTTCATCTGGGTCTAGGTCCATTGACATATTGAAGTAATTCTAAAGATTTTTAACAATAAAATGAAGCAGAAGAAGATGAGGCTTTAGGTTTTAGAGGGGTTTTATTTTTTTAAAAAGTGCTACTTTTTTTCTGAAGGGGCTGCTTGTTCGAGAAGGAGACGAAGTTTTGGCCTCCCGCCTTCTTTTAGACACTTCGTTAATTTTTCACAAAGCACCATCTTTTAGTCCTAATTAGTCATTTATACATACATTTGGCTATATTACGCTCTATAGATATCTTTTATATTTTTATACAATGTATTTCATGTATTTAAACGGTTGTATTCATTAATACAAGAAAAAAAATGGGCATAAAAACGGGAAATCCAGCTAAGTATTATCTGTATTTAACTGTATTCAAGCGAAATTTCAGTTGTATTTAACTGTATTCAAGCAAAATTTCAGTGAAATACAGTAACTTTTTTGCGCAAATTCTGGGAACTTAAACTTGTTAAAAACGGAAGAAAATCAAAGCACATGATAGTCTCCTAATTTAACTCAAAGAACTAAAACGAGTACACACTAATTTGTATTTTGCTCAAAGAAAGCAACTCAAAAACGTGAAAAGAAGGAAAAACCAGAGCAACACATCTGATCGAACTTCTCAATTCTCTTCTCCTTTTTTCTATTGAATACAACAAAATACAATTGAATACAGCTGAATAAAATTCTTGAATGCAACAAAATACAACTAACTTCTGCTGAATAAAATAGTTGAATATAACTAACTACAACTGAATACAGTTGTATAAAACACTTGAATACAACTAACTATTGCTAAATAAAATTTAATTACAACTGATTAAAACTGAATACAAGAGAATAATCACAACTTTTTAATACATCTAAAATATATAAACGAATGTTGCTGAATACATGTGAATACAGTTTCACCTCTTTCATCTGTAAACATGGCTTTTAACAAAATCAAGGTTGAAAACTCTATCGTTGAGATGGACGGTTAGATCTCTTTCTCCTTTACTTTCTCTATCTCTATATTTTTTCCGTTTTTCTTGCTGAAATTTATTGTTTTATAGATCTGTTTTTGTATGCCAAATAATAATAAAGATTGATTATGCTGTGAAAATACAGAGAGGACAAAGAATTTGAGTAATGTGGGTATGTGGGAGAAGAGAGTAAAGGTGACAATGGTGGAGAAATAGAGATTTAGGGTGGGAGAAGATTTATGAAACGTAGGTTTGTGGGAGAAGAGGGTAAAGTGTATGGAAAAAGAGAGAGAAAAGCTAGTCAGAGAAGATATACGCTAATTAGGTGAGAGAAAATATAAAAAATGAGAGAAAAATATTTTGTAGCATATATGGTGCCTTAATTGTAGGATGGAACTATATTTAGATTTTTTGCTATAAACTATAAAAGGTATTTATAGGATGTAATATTTTAAAATGGTATTTATTTAATATAAATAGGGTACTAACCTATTCTATAGGTGGTAAAATTTCCTTTTTTCAATTGAGGTAATTGTACTGCCAATACATTTTCATTTACAGCTTTTGTTAGGGATTGTATTGTATGTTATTTTAATTAAAATATTTATTTTGATTGGTACTTATATTTTGTACGGAAAAGGACCAAAAATGCCTCTGAAATATTAAATTTGGTACAATAATGCCCTCCTACCACCTTTTCGAACAAAAATGCACTTATTGTTTAACTTTTGGCTCAGTCATGCCCCTACTTCTAACGGCCTTTTTTTAAATATATATATATTTAATTCACATGTAATATTTTTATTGGCTAAATTTAAAGGCCAGCCCTAATACGCTAACCCACTTGTAACCCGCTCCGTTAACGACCCGCTTTTCTTTAATTCATTTTAACTCAAACACCCAATTTTTTAAAGACGCAACTGCTCATCAAATTCTCCATCTCTCATCTCCTACCTTCCAATTTTATATCTTCTTCTGAAATTTACATTAATAACGATTCTTCCTTTAGCTTCAAATATTTTACTCTTTTCTGTTTCTTCTCTTAGCCAAGGTGATTTCCCTATATGTTATTGGATAATTGCCAACCATTTTACTGCTACAACACCTATGAATAGCGGTAGTAGATTCTACAAATGTTGTTATTCTGAGAAGAATGGTTGCCCGTTATTGTGAATGGCGCGATGAACAATTTCTACTTCATGTGTTAATGTTTATCGTTAATCAAAAATTTTCATTGGATGTCCTTCGTCAAGAAAGGAACAAGTTGAAAAAGACTGAATGATATGGTTCATAACAAAGTTGCAGATTTGAACAAAGTATCTGCCTTGGAGGAGAAAGGTTCCAATTTGGAATTAAAAGTGAATCGAATGAGAAAATTATTGTTATGGTCATGTGCTAATTTGGTATTTTTTGCCACCGTCAAGATGATGAATTGAGAAGTTGGTGGCAAATATCGATGAAGTATTTTAAGATTCTGTATATTTCTACTTTCTCTATGTCGAGTAATTGTTGTTTTGGTCATTTGTGTCGATGTCGGATGAGTTATTAAGGGAATGAGCAGATTAATGTTTTGATAGCAGCGATAGCAGTGTTTGTTTTGGTTATTAGCGTTGGTGGATCTAGTGTTAATTGTTCCTAATCAAAGAGGTGCGGGTCGATAATAGGGCGAGTTACGGGTGGATTAGTGTATTAGGGCTGGCCTTTAAGTCCAGCCAATAAAAACATTACACATGGATTAAAAAAAATTAAATGAAAGGTTGTTAGAAATAGGGGCATGATTGAGCCAAAAGTTAAATGGTAGGTGCATTTTTATTCGAAAAGGTGGAAGGATACTATTATTGTATCAAATTCGATACTTCATGGGCACTTTAGGTCCTTTTCTGAATTTTGAATTGTATGTTAAATTCATCACTACGTAACGCCAAAAAGTATCATTTTATGGAATGGCATATAATGTGGTGGCATCGTTCCCTTCTTTTTTTTCTCTCATCTTGCCCTTTCTTATTATTAACTAATCATATTTTATCCGTTGTCCTATTTTTTATATAATAATTCTACCATGTGTCCTATTTTTTCTTAGTAATTTTACAAGTTTATTCTTCATATTATTGATGCGTGACATCATGAAACTGTTTGGCCAAAAAGTGTTAGGCCTTTTTGTTAAACTAATTAAATAAAATGATCATGGGTAAATTCTAATTGGTTTTCGTGAGTGTCTGAACAAATTGGTTTTGGGGTTTTATTCTAATTGGTGTCGAGAAGTTGTGGCTGAAGCTTGGGTTCATTTATTTGAGGATTGCTCGACAATCGAATTTCTGGTGCTGAAGCTCGAAGAACAGCTTCAATTTTCTGGAGTTGAGTGCCTGAAGCTGTTGCGTAGCCTATGCACTCCTCGACGCATCAGATCTCTCCTCAGATTGATTGCTGCAGCTAGCAAGAAAACTCTCTCACAAACTCCCTGTAAATCTCTCCTCAGATTTACCTCAGNAAAGCGGGATGAACATTTGGTTACTTACCAAAGTTCGGTGGCGAAGACTCAGATTGACTACCTCCTCCTCAGGAGAAGCGACAGAAGGTTGTGCGAGGACTGCAAGGTTATCCCAGGTGAGACC